CTCTGTTAAAAAGAAGGATATTTGAAGCACCTACTTGTAAAAGAATGTCAGGACCTCTTAAATAAATTAGGTTTTTTTTAAATTAGTTTTTTAAAACAATTAGTTTATTCCAAAATTCCTTGGAAGAGATTTTTTCAATGTGTCTTACTTTTTTTACTGTAGAAAGAATACTTTCTAGTTATTTCATCAGTAGATATACTCTTGAAGCATTAAATTTGTTCAAAAGAGCTTTAAGTCATATACGTTCCATTTTAAAATATACCATATACGGTCTAGAAACTGAGTTAGCAAATATGAGAAATTGATTTCTTCTAATAAAGAAAGACCTAATTTTTAACACCTGGAAAATAAATAATAAGCTCAGCATTGTACAGTCCTGCTTAACACTATATCCCAACCCTGAAAAAGATAACATATATAGTAGATGCTCAGTAAATATTTGATTAAGTAATTTTTCTTCATTGCTCAGCTTGTGACTACTCAGAATAACAGCTCTTCTTGACAAGGAGAAATTGTTGTATTTTGTTTACTAACAAAAGACATCTTTGAGGGGCTGGGGATTTAGCTCAGTGGCACAGTGCCTGCCTGGTAAGCATGAGGTCCTGAGTTCGATTCCTGGTACTGGAAGAAAAACAAACCAAAAAAAAACAGTGACAGGGTGGAATTTTAATGAAAATATTTAATATGTTTTTAAATCTGCCACCCCTGAGAATTGACGCAAACTTTTAAAAGTAATTATTATTTAAATGAAGAGAAAAAGAATAGCTTTTCAAACAGAAGTATGTAGAATCAGGCAGGAGATAATAAGTCTGATAAGCAAGAGCTGGTGGAGGGGACGCAGAAATAAAGTCAGGTGAGCCACACGGGAGATGATTCTGAACACTACGCAAGTTTCTGAGATTCTGGATTGGAAAATAGCGACAGAAGACAGTGAATGGGTCAAATAGCAAGGGGAGACATCGAAGGGAGGGTGTATGGGAGATGGTGTCAGGCATCCGCCTTAGTAAAACACACTCAAGAAGAAACAGCAAGACTTGTTCATTAATTGGATTTGGGAGTAAAAATGTCCTCAGTTTCAGTTCCAAAAGGTAGGAGATTATCAAAGCACTGATGGGAGCCATTCGTTGGTTGGGGGGAGGGCTTAAGGACAAGAGGACTGGCGGAGCGCGCTGTGTAGCCCACCTACGCACAGGCGGGGAAGGAAATGTCAGTCTATGGGAGAAACCCATTTCCTTACCTTTTCTGGCTTCTAGCGCCACCTGCATTCTCGGGCTCACAGTCCTTTTCCTCAAAACTAACAGTACAAAATCCTAAAATCTTTCTCTTTGACTCCGAAACTCCTCCCTGCCTCTTTCTTTTCTAAACAAAACCCTAGTGATTACATAATCCAGGATCATCTCTCCTTTTTAAGATCCTTAATTTGGTCACCTTGTAAAGTCCTCCCTAACAAGGTAACATATTCAAAAAACCCAGGAGGGGCTGGGGATTTAGCTCAGCGGCAAAAGCGCCTGCCTGGCAAGGGCAACGTAGTGAGTTCGGTTCCCGGTACCGGAGAAAAACAAAAAAACAAAACAAAACAAAAAACCCAGGAAATAGGACAGAGAAGTCTTTGAGGGGCCATGTACCCTTGCCTACCAACAGGGCTAAATTAAAACCTCAGAAGTTCTTAATTAACTTTGTTTTGACTTAATTCTTGTGGATCAGTTCACCTTTGGATCAAATTATATATGTGAGATTGATTTATTAACTAGAAAATAAAAATAACATTTTAAGAGATTTTTATACTAGTCAGTTGTTTTCTGCTGAAAAGCCTTTAAATTAAATATTAAAATTCTTATTATAAAGTTTTGTTTAATGAGAGTTGGGTAGCAATAAAAAGAAGCTGAAAACTTTCTGCCAGGAGCAATATTTTGATGAAACTATATTTTATATTGAAGAAGTCACTCTTGGAAGAACCTCATAATGTTATTTATTTGCTTCAATAGCTTTTTAAATATAAAATGTTCTTTTACAGAGACTTCAAAACTAGATAAGGATTTTTCCTTTGTATACATGAATAATATGCATACTTTAGCCTAATAACCTAAAAACATATTTGGATGTCTCAAACTGCTCAATCCAAAAAGTTTTTCCTCTGTGAAATTGAAGTAATAATGAACAAAACTACCTTGCAGATTAAATAAAGTAATATACATAGAACTGTAGCATAGCTGTCTGGCTATAATAAGTAAGACTTTAATATATTTTTAGCCTAATCCAAAATATATTCCATGAGATTTGTTAGTATTAAAACATATTTCTGTAAATAAACAATACTATAGATGTTGTTTCTTAGAAAACACTACCAATTTTTAGAATATTTGATTACTCTATATAGCAAAAAAAATTTAACATGACATTCAATTCAAATAATTCCATTTTTTTACCTTATATGTTAACCAATCAGGTTTTTCTCTGAGTCTACAAAATAACTACATTAAGGAGTTTTTTATCCTACCTAAACATGTGAATAAATTGTGAGGGAAATTCTGTTTATTACATCATTTTCAATATAATCTATTTAAAATTAAATTGAAGCTTTTCCAAAGATCAGCTACAGGCAAATCTAGAAGACATCAGTGCTTCACAAAGCAAAGTAGCAGCTGGGCAAGGTAGTACACGCATGTAACCCCAGCTTCTCAGCAGCAGAAGGATTGCAAGTTCCACGCCAGGCCAGAGTGGATTCTACAGGAAATTTCTGCCTCAAAATAAAAGTTCAAAAGGCTGGGGATGTAGTCTGTGGTACAGTGCCTGCCTAGCATATACAAGGCCCTGGATTCAATCCCCAGTAACATGAAAAGAAAAAAAGTCACAGTATGAAAGTTTCTTGGTAGTTTTAAATTACCTTTAAGCTGCACTATTTCAAATTTCTTCTTGTAAACCCATGTTCCTATCTTTTTAACTGCTTCTAATGAAATAAGTTCCTTTGCTTGTACTATTGTCTTTTTGTAAGCTTGGCACACTATCTTCTTTCTCTTATCTTTTGTAATGTAACAGACTTTAATGTAGTTCTCGGAGAGACTGTCGTAAAAGTCTGACCAGGAGAACAGTTTATAAGTTTCAAACTGAAGGGTCATTATTAACACAGTCTTACCTGAAATGAATATATGGGTTCTCTTGTTTGTGCATGCAGGATTTTAACTAGATGAGCAGAGGTAGAAGCATTTAAATGAACTACTACAATGGTTATGTAATGGTCATGTAAACATTGGTTACATGAGCTTACTTTAACTCACATTTTCCAAAAAGACATGAATTGTTTAATGAGATTAGAGAACTATAAGAAAACATGTCTTTGGGCAAGGGCTTTTCTATAACATTCATAAAAATATTTCTGTGGCTGAAAACACAATGTCAGAAGTTGTGATTTCATATGTCCTTTGATTAATATCTGGTATCCAGTTATCAGCAAAAAATAATATACAGAGTGAATATTTTTCACTGTGAAGCTAAATGCAGAGGAAAAACAGGCAAGAGTGTGTTTCCTCAGTTTTAAAGAGAGGTTAATTCTAAGTGTTTTCACTTTATCGGAGTCCTCCTGACATGTTCAACAATCATTGCTACTAATGATGTTTATGTGGGCTGAAGTAAATTACACTTTTACTTATCATTTCAGCACCCAATGTCTTTTTTTATTACAGCAGACAAATCTAATTACTTCTTCCTGATTAATCTCAATAGGTGTGATTTGAAGCATGAATAAGTCCTTTCCAGTCAAGATGAAATTCTAAGTATTTCAATGAAACTTCAGGTTTTTTTTCTAGGTACACTGTTTGTGTGTCAAATCAGAAGGTATATTAACCATGAACAAATGGACAACTGAATAGATCACTTTCAGTATATTTATTTATATACATTAACATGTCAAGCACAGCCTGTAGATTGATGTCTTTCCTTTTCTCTGATATCATCTCTTCTTTCTCTATGGTCTCTCAGCATTTTCACTGAACTCTTCTCAGTGTATCCATTTCTTTTTCTTTATATGTGATTAGCATACGTGTTTTGTGTCCCCTCTTATTCCCCAAGCTTTACCCACTATACTGTGTTCTATGCCTTCAATATAGAGAAATAATAGCTAACAGTAATAGAGGACTTGCTATGTACTAGAGGACATTATCGCCTTTATACTATACTAACTTTTTAAAATCTTTAACCAAATGAAGTGGGCATCACTGTAATAGTCACTTTATAGAGGAGGAAATAGAAAAATCAGAGCAGATAAACAATCTGGCCTGAGTCACATAGCCTCTAGTTGGCCATCCCCAGTTTTACTGAACGTATCGTCATTTCCTACCTCTGTACACTCCTGGCAGGAATGTCTCCCCCATGAATGCCTTTCAGAGGACCAAGTACTTATTCCAAACTTTCACTGTGAGGATTTTACCTTTGCTTTTCTGTGTAATTAATATTTGCCCCTCCATCGTCCCATAATATATTAATATAACAAAGAAAATTTCATAGATGAATTATAGCAATGAATATTTATTAAGTGTTCACAGTGCCAAGCACTGCGTCTTACTATCTAATCCCCTGAAGGGTTATGTGAGAAGGACCAGCACTCCACAGATGAGGAAGCTGAGGTAGAGACAGGTTAGGTGACGTGCACAGGGTCCCACAGCTGACAGCTGGTAGAGTCAGGATTTAAAATCAGAGATCAAACACCAGAGTTGTGCTCTGAATAAAAGGGGTGAACTAATGGACATTCTGCTTACAGTGTCCAGGAAAGCAATTGGAGGAGATGACATTTGACATCTGTGGAAAGGTAAAGTAGAAAAAATAAGAACGACAATTCAGGCAGGGGACGGATGTGGATAAGATACAACAGAACAGTCTACCCGAAGTACAAGAAGTGCTCAATAAATAAAATTGAAGGGTCTCATTTCTTTCCAGTGCACAAGTTAAAAGGTTTCACATGTCTGATATTTTATTACTAATGATTCTGTTCATTTGTTTTCTTTCAGTGCCACCGTGGGCCTTAATTGCCATAGCCATAGTTGCAGTCCTTTTAGTCCTGACCTGCTGCTTTTGTATCTGTAAGAAATGTTTGTTCAAAAAGAAAAACAAGAAGAAGGGAAAGGAAAAGGGAGGAAAGAATGCCATTAACATGAAAGATGTGAAAGACTTAGGGAAGACCATGAAAGATCAGGTAATGTACACATCCCTTATTTATTCTTGGATTGTTTTGTAGAAAATTAATAAGTGGATGGTTTACTGCTTAAGCCAGATAATTAGAGGAGTAAACAACCTGCAGCTACAAGTCATTACACTAGAGATGCTTTTGTAATCGTTTAGTCAGGCAGCCATGTGGCAGGGCGTTGCACTCTCCCCCACATACATAATTGCCAGAGGACAGAACCCACTCTTGGTGCACCCAGAAGAACACAGTGTTTGCTTGGTATTTTTAGTCCATCCTGACTCAGTGTAGTTACAAAAATGAAACAAAGAGTATCTAAGTGTTTTCCCTCTTGGGCAGGAGACCTTTCTAACTTCTTCATTGTTTGTAGCCACTGTTAAATAACTGAGTATTATAGTCATTCATCATACTTGATGAAAGCTATCATTCCTACAAACCCATCCAGCTCAGCCTGTAGATCTCAGAAATAATGAGTTATACAGGAGAAGGAGAAGATGAGCTAGTAGTAAGGAACAGGACAGAGCCTGAAGACAAAATTCTTATTTCCTCACAGAGAGACCATAATTAAAACCATAACTCTCATTATAAAATGCATCTGGCTGGTTATCTTCCCAAGCCTTAGGAAGTTATTTAGATATCCTTTATGCTGCTGTCCATTTTTAACTAGACTATTTAACTGAACAATTTAGCTCAAGATAAAGTTTACCATAAATAATGACTACCAAATGCCTCTTCATTTGGGGGATGATATTTATATTGCATATTTCTAAAGAACACTTAATTCATATGAATATAAATGCAGAGATTTTTCATAGAAATAGCAGCTATTTGCAGTCATCAGCCGTTCCCAGGAAATAGCACACAGTTTTATCAGTTCATCTTACAGTACTAGTTGCTATTAATTGAACCTATAAATAAATGAGTCTCCTGAAGAACAATGTACACATTTTAAATACATCTGCATAGCTTCCTAGCGAGACATACACTCAGAGCCCGAAGCCCCACTTCCCAATTTGAGTTTGAGACCCTTTTCCCAGACATTGCAGTATTTGTGAACAATAATTTCACAATGGTTTGGCTTCTTCTTCCTGTGCCTTTGATTAGTTTCAGAGCTGTGGGATGGATGTTAGAGGTGATACACTCAGAGAGTTTTGGCCTCCGAGTAGCAAACGTTCGATTTTTCTGACAGTCCCTAATGATTGTCACAAAAGCCCGTGCACATATACTCAACTACAAATGTCTAGTAAGGATTTTTCTTTCTGTTTAATTTATTAAGTAAGAAACTAAAACTTGAATCATGTCTTGCTTTATTTCAACAGTTTCCAGAGCAAGCAGGATTTGATAGAGATGTCTTTAAAATGTCTTTCAACATTTTATTGGGGAATTAAGTATGGAAATAACATCCAAGATGGACATAGTCTGAAAAATATGAATATTATTTTAGCAATATGTGTGAAAACAATAATTTATGTACGTAATACTCTCATTTTCATAGTTGCCTAAATTTCCAACATAGTTTTTCTATATCCTAGAAATAGCAATTGAAAGCATTGAATAATGTTAATTGATAATTATAGAATTTATTCCTAGAGTAAGAAATCTATATTTTAATCTGTGGAATTTGTTCTGTATGATACAAGATTCTAATTTATAGCATACAAGTGGTTACCCCTGTTACAACCTGGATAAATGACCAAAATCCCAAATATACAACTAACGATGGTTCACTTTTTATCAGTCACTATCACCTATTCCTTTGGATGCGGAGGGGCAGAGAAAAAAATGAGTCAAATCAAGAAGTACTTATCATAGCTTACAATAAGCTATGCTATTGCCAAGTATTTCAAATTTCTACCACGAAAAAGTATTTTTAATTATATTAAGTAGATCAGTTTGTCTAGGACTTTAGCTAGGTGTTATTTTTAAGATATGAACAGTTAAATGTAAAAACTGAAATATTATTTGAACAAGTGAAAACAAGTCACAACAATAATTGTACAACAGTAGGTTACGCTGCTATTCCAGTCCAACAGTACTAACTACTAATGACTTCTAACATTTTATGAAGAGGGAGGATAGAGAAGAAAAATAAGATATGCAGGTTTTAGGAGAAAGAATGACATGTTACATAGTTATCATCACACGACCAAATTCAACACAGCAAAAGCACAAATTGAAATTTTTTAATTAATTATATTTTCAAAGTATTTTAAGTAAGATGTCAAAGTGAACATGAGGCAGAGAAAGATAGTTTACACCTCACATTTAAAAACAGGACAGATAAGAGAGAGGTTTTAAATATAACTTCTTAAATTATATCTAGGCTAGGACATAGGCTCTAGGGCAGTCAGTAAGTTTTTCCCATTTCAATCCATATCAAACTGACAAAAATTCAGATTTCGGTGCTGATGGTTTTATGTCCCTGTGGTAAGGTTTTGTATGAAAAGAAGCATTTGAATACATCAGCAGTGACTGGAAAAGCAATCCTAGGTAGTATATTTATGTTCCATAAGGCATATACCTCACGGTTCTTTTCGATGCCTTGAAATTTGAGAACACTAAATTTTTTTTTTACAGAGGGAAAATATCAACATGTAAAATCATAGGTCTGCAAAGGTCATTTCTCCACGGTTTTCACTAATGTGTGTGGATGTTTTAATTTTTATTTCTTCCTTCTGTGTTCTCCTTATCTGTGTTGTGTCTCATGACTGTTCTGGACTGTCCCTTGCGGTAGGTTTTCTCTGCTATTAGACATCCCTAGTCAAGCTGAGATACATTTAGCAGCCTGGCAGCTGGGCTCCACAGCTGAGGGCACACCATTCTGACACACATCAAGAGGCTGAACTAAACTGATTTTTTTAAAGATAAAGTGTCGCCATTTTAAATATCCCTATTATAGATTCCTATAACAGTATTAGAAAGCTCAAGTTTTAAATTGACAGACACAAGGAAAATTATGTCCTTGTGCAACCTTTTTAGTATGTCTTATGAAATCCCAATCTGGACCATGTACTTAGACTCAACAAATGCTCTTTCTGTTGCTTACAAACTAAACACCTTTTGAATGTCCACGTAAACCATAAGAATTTGCATAAAACCTTTGAAATTAAAAATAATACCTGACATTCCCAGAACAACTTTTGGTACTGCATTTTACTAAGCCTCAGAATTGTGAGATTTACAAAGTTTTTCTTTTGGATTTTGTTCCATGGGGGATAAAATATTGTAACAGGTACTGATTTAACAGGTCTGAATTTAAATCTGATGGTAGAGAAATTGTTTTGCTTGAACTCAGCCTTTGGGATAGAAATAGACTTAAACGCTTCCATGATGAACAGTAACACAGAAATTATTTAAAAATTTAGCCCTTTTTCATGCAGAATAATTGCAGGGGTGGTTCTGCACTTTCTATTCCTGCAAAAACCACTTGGAAAGAAGACTTACTATCTCAATTAGTTCAAATTGCACTGAGCTGAAGCATGATATATACATGGTCAGTTCTAAAGAGACTTTCAAAAAGTATTTTAATTCATAGCTTTTTATTGTGCTCATAGAGTAACATATAGATTTTCCAGACAGAAATATGCATTGAATAGTTGCTGTTATTTAAAAAAAAAATGAAAATCTTACAGCGAGCCAAATTACCTCAGCTGCAATTTTCTAAGCACATCCTCTACGACAGCGCTAAAGACTTATACACAGCTAAGGCTTACACAGGGCATGGAAATCTGTGGCCTAAAGTTTCCTAATTCAATTCATTGGCCTTGGCATTTCACTCACACATTGTCCATTTAGTGACCCCCCCCCAATTTCTCAAGTTAAGAGAGTAATACAGATTCTTAAAATAATTTTGTGGTTTCCTGCCTTTGGTTAGTAAACTAACATTTTAATATTCAAAGAAACATTCAAGTATAAACTTTCTAAATTAAATGGTGTGTGGCTAAACAAATTTGAAAAGATTTCTACACAGATATATGTAATAGTAGTAATTTTCAATTTTCTAAACTTTCGGTGGGATCCATAAAAATTTCAAGAAGCGTGAAAGAAGAGACATCTCTGACAACAGCTCAACTTCCTGTTTATATGACCTTCTCAACAGAGAGTGGATGTAAAGAATTCTAGTAATCTGGGATGAACCCAACACTCAACTTCTTAAGATCACAATAAAATTAGCTGAGAGAGGCCAAAATCTTATAAATTCAAGAACTCAAGTTGCCATTTCGCAAACCACTGAGGGTCTTTGTGGAAGTGAGTGAATGAGGAAAGGATCTCTCTTTTGAGAATGATGAATAGAACAGAGAAAAGGACCTGCGGTGTGGGAATGGGTGTGGGCATGGGGATGAAGGTAGGAAGGTCTGATGACTCTGACCTAAAGCCTGGTTATACTTTTTACATTTGAGTCCTGTAACTATACTCAAATTCACTTGGAGAGTGGCAATAGTTAAGATTCCTCTGCTCTGTCAGACATGTGAAGCCGTCTGCTGTGCATATATATTATCTTGATTTGTATATATACTCTTTTGAGTTATATATATATATATTCTCTCTGTCTCTCTCACTCACACACACACACACACACACACACACACTCACAAACAAAACAGTGAAAATGCCAGAACCAAAAGCTAGGGAATAATATTTGCTACATATAACAACCACAACAATGTTGAAATTACAAAAGTATAAAAAGCTTGTACACATAATAAGAAATAAACACAATAAAAAATGTACCAGGGCTGGGGATTTAACTCAGTAGTGCAGTGCCTGCCTGGCAAGCATGAGGTCCTGAGTTCCGCTGCCGGTACCAGCAAAAAAATTGTATCAAAGGATACATATAGGTAGTTCCCAGAAGGTAAAAATATAAATAGTTAATATAAAGATATTTAATTTTTTAAGCTGAACTAGTGATCAAGGAAATATAACTTTTTTTTTTTTTTTTTTTTTTTTTTACGATTCTGGGGATCGAATTCAGGACCTTGCACTTGCCAGGCAGGTGCTTATGCCACTGAGCTATATCCCCAGCCCCCAGAAATGTAACTTTTAATAATCTTGAATTTTAAATAATTTTAATTTGTAAAATTCTAAGTAACTTTAATGTATAAATATGTAATTGTTCTAATTTCTTTGAAGCAATAAAATGTATATTCTTATTGAAAATTTCAAATAGTAAAAACCTTTATATCCTTTGATATTTTTGACAAAACTTTTACATATTAGAAAAATGTTATACATTTTGATTTTGAAAGTGGAGCATTTGAACATACTTTATGAGATAATGAGCTTTCTAGTCTTTCAGTTTGTATTACACCTAAATTTTGTTATAAAAATTATCTAATCAGTCAGACTGAGTTTTGAGAATTCAGTACCATGAGCTGTTTGTTCCTTAAGGAAAAATGAATTTCCAAACCAATTTGAGTTTTTGACAAAAGTGCAAACACAACTCCTTTTATCTCTTTATGTCAAACAGACTTGTAAATCAATTTAATTCAGCCTAGCTTTCTGTGGAGCTGTTATGGAAATAAGATGGTGAACTTCAACTGGAAGTGGAACTTTTCTCTAAACATGCATTTGCTGGTAGCATGTTGGGGTTTTTTTTTGGTTTTTTTTTTTTTTGTCTTTTTCCTTAGCCATTACAACTGTATATGTGAAACATCGATAATTAAAATTTTCCGAGGTGCATTTGAATACTTGTTTTCATAGAGGATATACGGAAATAAAAGACCGTGCCCTTTCTGGAAATTACTCCACTGCATGTAACAATACTGTTGTAAATGATGCCAAACATCTTTTTAAACTATAAGAATGTGAAATCCGACCTGGTTAATAGCATGTTTACCACACTAGAGAAAGAAAGCAGTTTTATCAGGGCCAAACGTAGTAGCAAGTTGACATTTTCTTTGCAAAAATTTTACATTTATTGCTTGCAGTCTTCTGAGGGGCTTTTTCCATTGCTTCCATGTTGCTTGCTGATTGGGGAAAAAATTCCGTGCGCTAATGGAATTTAAAAAATATGTAAGCAGCAATTGTGAATGTGTGTCAGACAAAATCAATCTTAGTGCTTGCTGCTGACAGCTGGGAAGTATTACTCGCAGGCCAATTTAACTTGGAACTAACTCGAATTCAATTGATTTCTCATGGAACCCCTTTTCCTACCCCTAGGCCCTGAAGGATGATGATGCTGAAACTGGATTGACTGACGGGGAAGAAAAAGAAGAACCCAAAGAGGAGGAGAAACTGGGAAAGCTTCAGTATTCCCTGGATTACGATTTCCAGAATAACCAGGTCTGGGGTTGGGGGGTGTCTTCTAATTCCATTACGCTCTCAGAAATTACCAAGTAGAATCGAAGCAAGATACTTCTTAAAACATTTTGTTTGCTGCAAAGGGAAAATGCAATTACCAAAGCTATTGATGAAATAATTTCTAAATACAGGCAGTCTCCTACTTGCTAATTTAACTTCTGGTAATTAGAATTCACAGTATTCAAATGATTACATGTACTTATGGCACTTACAATAGACAGGCAGAATACAAATTAACTTGAAGAAGTCAGTCTGCTCCTGAGAGCTCCCAGCCAGTCTTGTCCCCACAGGTCCCTCATCCTGAGATGGAAAATCTTCCATGGACTTGATGGATTTAGATCCAAACAGGGTGACGGGCCTTTGAGTGCAGCTACCAGTCAAACCAAATCTTTAAGAAATAATATAATGGTTCCATAAGAAATCAAAGAGGAAAACTGATGATGGTCTATGAATTTAAGGGCAAAAATGCCTTAGAAGTAACCAAAGAAAACTGCAAAACAGGAATTCTTAATTTTCTTGGAAAGTGGTGAAGGTCCATTGAGATAAATAACCTGACCTACCTTTTATCAACTCCAGTTACCAAGGATGTTCAAAGATAACTGTTAAAAATCTCCCTCTAAAATTCTTCTGGGATCTATGACATTGAAGATGTCCCTGTACCTTCTGAATTATTAGAGAAATTCACCAAGACAGCAGAAACATGTACATTCAAAATCAAAGTGTCAAGAATGCTTAGGTCTGCAGTAATGGCAAAGCTTTTAGAGCCTTTTTTTTAAAAAAGAGAATAAGAAAAACAATGATAAGGAACAGCAGACTGTGACATGCATTGCCATAGGTTCACCACCACGGGCCGCGGATAGAGCCCTTCTCCAACTAGAGGAGTTTAAATACCTGTAGTTCATTTTTCACTTGTAATTTTAGGTGAAAAAGAACTGGTAGCCATAAATACAATTACTACTAGTACACACATGCAAATGATATTCAGTTTGATGAGCAATGAATGATGAATCAATCAATTACTAATCCTCAACTTTGATGACTAATGTCCAAAGTCAGAGCTCTAAGCAGTTGCAGAAATTCTGTGCTTTACTTAGTAATGGACAGCTCAAATAATATCTTCTACTTTTGAAGTTTCAGAGAGTTCTTCATGAAGGATTCATGGATCCACTCTGCTAAAATTATATTTGGTCAGCTTCAGTATAGGCCTAGCTCATTATTCCTAGAATTCTGAGAATCAGTTCATTGGTATGGATTTATAAGTATGAGTTAATAGAAGTTTATAGGTATATAACTTATAGGAATTAAATATATCATGCAATGTCATTTTTATCACTAATACCAAAATTTGTTCATCATTTCGTACATGAAATTTGCCATTGGAGATATATCTTCAATATATCTCCAATGTATTTTCCTAATTTATTCTCTATATTTTTTCCCAGTAGAAATCTAGTGGTTATGCTATCCATTAGTCATAATTTCAAAATTTCAAGATTGGCTTTAATTACTTTAAGCATCATTTTACTCAGTTGTAGAATTTTTAAGAATATTAATAGCACCACATTTCTTCTTACTCAAATATGAGTACATTTCCTACTCCTTTTCAATCAAATCTTGAATTTAAATATAGTTTATCCTGCAAATCTAGAACATTCTCCCTGATGAAATTTTTAACTTATGCATTTTTTCCAAATATTTTTAGCTAATTTGATTTATAAAATGATTCCTAGGAATCAGAGAAGACAAAATATGATGAAATTTGCAGATAAAATTGTAGTCAAATGTATATATTTGCTTAATTCAACTAAAAGACAACCCTAAAATACTTTAATGGAAAGCCTTTTGTGGGGAAGAGAAATGTGATCATCTTTTTTTTTTTTTTTCCTTTGGTTTTTCTCCGGTACCAGGAACCGAAATGCGATCATCTTTTGGCAGAAGTCAAAGGAAGATTGGAAAAAATCCATCCCTTATTAAAAAATAATTCAAAATCTAAAATGATCTCATTTTAAAGAATTCCAGCTATATTTTTAGTGTTTTACCCAATCAAATGAAAATTGGTTACAAAAAGTAAGAATGAAAAACTTAGATCTTTTTATTCACATTATCATGTATTACCAAAAACAAATTTAGCAAACCAGAGATAAACTACTTGTTGTCTTTATTAAGCATGTCTTTATAATCTAATGCCTACTTTAGCTATTCTTCAGCCATCTGTCTGTTTTATATAACTACAATCCAGCAGCCATTGCTACTATTGTAAAAATGATTCCCCCAAACAGATACTGAACCTTTAAAATGGAAACAACATTTTCATTCAGGCCATGATCCACACTAAAAAACAAACTGACGATCTCAACTGCACTTAAGAATATGGTAGTCAGTATTACAAAAAATGAGTGAAAAATATTTTAAGGAGGTAAATTTGCTTTTCAGTCTTGGCTAAAAAGTCACAAACTCAAATTTTCAAGATCATAAGTGAAAACCTATAAGGTAACCATGTTTACTGAATAATTAGAGTCTACATTTGTTCCCCAGACATACGTAAACCAGTATGTTAATACAAAATCTCTGATAGCTGGATATCTAAAATAATTCACTCATACTTTTATTCTTTACAAAATATTAAGTGCCATAATATTCTAAGATTTCCAATGAGATTTAGGATTATATAAGTGAGAATATAGACTTGAACAAATGCAGAGATTTCTGATTTGCTTGGAAAGCTCAGAAATAGTTACTTAGCATTAAAAACCATCTGTCCACTCCCCTTCCTCTTTATGAATTTTAAATTATATTTCTTTTATTCTATGTTCTACATTTAAACACAATATTCTTTAGCTAAGTCATTCTACTGTAAGTTAATATAAAAAGTAACCAGCCCTCAAGTAAAGTCAAGTATGAAAAAAGTTGAAGATATCTTTTTTTATTTCAAAATGCTACTCAATTTCTAAGAAATTTCTATTTAGTTGTTCTGAGACTTTAGTAAAGAATTAAAATGTCCTACTTTGTAATTACAGACTTGTGATTGTTTAACAATTTATTTCCACTTATAAATCATGCCCTGGAAAGAAAAACAATGCACAAGAGCTTTTAGCAACTGGAAAGTTATTTGATTGCTACCCTTTTGAAAATATGAGTTCCATATTAAACTGTAATCAGCAACCTTTTAAAAGCCTCTTTTGTGCTTGAAACTAGGCTTCCTAGAGCCTGCATCTGTCATAATTAGATTTTTGAAGTCTAGATAGCTCATTTCATTTGCCTTCTGTGTTCAGATTCCTAAGAGAGTCAAAGTTTATTAAAAGCAAAGAGGAATGAGGCAAAATCACAATATGCAGCTCCGCGAACAAACAGTCTTTTCCAAATCGTCCACCAATGTTTGTGCATGTTTTCGCTGCTTCATTTCAGCTGCTGGTAGGGATCATCCAGGCTGCTGAACTCCCTGCCTTGGACATGGGGGGAACATCTGATCCTTATGTGAAAGTGTTTCTGCTTCCTGATAAGAAGAAGAAATTTGAGACAAAAGTCCACCGAAAAACCCTTAATCCTGTCTTCAATGAGCAATTTACTTTCAAGGTACTTTTAAAGTATTACCTATAACTTTCCTTTGTTTTAGGTAAAAGACAGTGTTATCCTACCACATATATAGACATGCACATAGACACCTATTCATGGGCTCACAGTAACTGTATTTAGAATACTTTACATTTTTATCTTCAACCTGGTGAACACTCGATATTGCATTTAGATATGGCCAAGGTAGGGTTCAACTTTGTCTTTTCAGAATGGAATGTAGACTGATATAAGACAAGGATGTCACAGTCACATCTAAAAAAGGAGGTCTGCTTCTATTGAGCCAATAGGCTTGACCTGTGCCAGCACCAAATCATTATCGTTGTCATTGTCATCCAAAGAAATGAGGTCATTATTTTTGAGTTTCAAAGTTCTTGAAAAATAGGTAAACCCAGATGCATGCTGACTTGGTTGGTTTTTTTTGTTGTTGTTGAGACAAAATATCTAACGCCCAAAATGAAGGAAGGAAAGGTTTATTTAGCTTATAGTTTGTGGAGGTTTCAGTCCATACTTGGCTGGCTCTGAGGCAGAAGATAACAAAGCAACAAGAGCAAAGGGGTGAATGGCAACCGAACAGCAAACAGCCAGAACAAAAGGGAGGAATGGTGGCAAGCAGCCTCTTTTTTTCTCCCTTACATTGTAAACAGGCTACCCCCACCTAAGGGGCGTGTAGCTCTCACATAATCTCTATGTCTTTTTTTTTATAGGCCCAGGACGTATATAAAGTAAGCACCCTGGCTTTCTGTTGAGTCTTAGCCAAACCTCTAGACTCCCCAAGCTGACACAATGTATCAACCATAACAGAGTTTCAAAGTTCTTGAAAAATAGGTAAACCCAGATGCATGCCCACAATTAAGTCAGCTATGTTCCACAGGTTGAATGCTATAGATATTATTCTTATTAAAAAATTCTGTAGATGCATGGGAAATGTGAACACTCTGAAGCCATTCTTATTGGTAAAAGGATATGAGCATGTTGTTTTTCCACATTTCTAGCATTTTTACTTTACTCTAGGCTCTTCTCTGATGCTCTTCATCTTGTTATGATGCCCTCCCTGACAAACAATAATTACCAGAGGTTCTTGCCAGACAATCGCTGGTCAAGAAATCACTTCCTGCAGACCTTAGGGATCTTTCTAGCTATTGGCCTGAAGTCATTCAAAAAACAGTTCTTTTGGGGAATATGTGAAATTTTTTTAAAGTGCATTACTTAGAACAATATGTTTTTGAAAAGTGAAATGGCTGTGAATATGCCAGCAGGCTTATTCAAAATCTCCCTGCCCGCCAGCCAGGCTTAGAGAGAGCGTGTGCCTCATGTTGGCAAGCAGTCTGGTAGGAAATAAATTGATGAAATTGAAAGCATGAGTCATTTTCTCGAACTCTGTTTTCAGTTTTGCAAAGGTGCGATGTCTTTTATTTCCTCTAAAACTTGAGTTTTCAAAACAAAATCCCTTATGTATTGAATAACAGTATCTAAATACTATAGTTTCTCTATATCCGGACAAGCAGCAGTAAAAGCACTCTGAAAAGTCTGAGTTTATGAAGAGTTAACCATTTTGGTCGACACAAAATGTAAAGTGAAAATAAAATTTTTAAATACTGCAAATAGTGATCAGAGACATATTTGACAATACATATATTAATCTTTATTCAGATTGGCAGTTTCCTTTTTTATTTTTTATTTTAAAAATTAAAAAACTGACAGAACAACAATGAAGACAAAATCAAAACAACACAAAAACAACAGAAATGATACATGACCTCTAAACAAAATGATAGAAATTTACAGTGGTTGCTATATTACATACTATTATCATCAAAAAAAGCCCAGGTCCTGATGGATTCACAGCTGAATTCTATAAGAAATTTAGAGAAGATTTAATACCAATTCTTCTCAAACGTTTTAAAGAAATAGAAAGGGAAGCAATTCTCCCAAACTCATTCCTGGAGGCAAGTATTATCCTGATAACAAAACCAGAAAAAGAACATTCAGATTGGCAGTTTCTAACTAGATTTTAGTAAGAAAATTTGAAATAATACTGGGAGGCCTTATTTTGAGTTATCTGCATATTAGTAGTTTTTAGGACTTCAAGAAATAGAATTTGTAATTATCTACAGACTTTTATAGGTTCCATTTTATTTCCTTTTTTGGAAGGTTGATCAAGCCATAAATAAATTTAAAGTGCAATACACTTGACATTCTTAAGATATATATCAATTTTTCCAGAACACAGATTAATTTCTCCAGTAAACATTGTAGATTCTACATCTTAAAATGCCAAGAGGCAGTGTGATGTAAGCATAGAATAAGGGAGTTTAAAGAAGACTGACTTTAGAAACAATTCAATCTACTTAACAAGAACTCAACATGCCCCAAACTAAATTTTTCTCCAAAACAAATCCCTGCCTAAAGCAGATATTAATCAATGAGTAATAAATATGTCCTACGTGCTTAGTATGTGGTACATGTTTTATATATATTTAATTGTCGTCCGAATGGCACCATGAAGTAGGTGTTATCACAATTTGATACACAAATTAAGGTTTTCTCACTTGACCCAAGTCTTTCAGCTACAAAGTTGAGAATCCTGTGTATCTCTGTCCCCAAAACTATATTTTTGACCATTGTTATTTTAGTATAATCAAAAACCCTAGAGAGATTTTAGAAATACAATGAAATTTAAGGGTTCAATATTTCTAAATTTTCTTATTTCTCCCTTTGAAATTCACTATTTGGAGGCATTTTAGATTTCTTCTAAAATGGAAAAAGCATTATACCTAGTTTTAATAAAAAGCATTTCAATAAAATAATAATATTTTAATAAGATAATCAGATTCCAAGCACGATAAATGACCAAAAATAAACTCATTGGAAAATTTAAACCTTTACAGTCAGATATTCTTCCTTCCCTTCTTACTACCTAGAGTTAATTGAGAAATGTTTCCTGGAGCATATGACAGCCATTTACACTGACAAAATATGAAGTGTGTGAAAATTGATCAAACCTTTAATACAAGTCTAAATAATTTCTTAATTAGACATTTCTAGCCAGTTACTGAAGAGTAGCTTACTTGGATTGCACTGCTTTTCCCTGAATATTAAAAATGTCACTAATAAACTTCCCAACCCATAGCATCTGTCCCAGATATATTTGAACAGCTGGAGAATTCATCAGTTCTTGGCCTTTTGCCACTGTTAATCCTAAAGAGTGTCACACCTACGAATGAACTTCAAGATCTATATTATAATGAATGTCTGATATTCAAAACATCAATTTTCTAGTCAGTTCATGTCAATCAGCAAATTATTTTAGAGAGTAGGTGAGGCACCTTGTGAATTTCATTACAGCCTTCCATTCCTAGCATATCATTTAAGAAGTCAGTGCTTCATTAAAACATGGTGCTCACAGTCTGGAAAGAGTTAGTGGAACTTCTGAAATAAATTATCTACTGCTAAGTGATATCCTGACAATATAACTTACTATAACTTATAACAGTGATGTCTTACTTTTCTCTCCTTGCTGAAACAAAATACCAGATACCCAAAGTTAAAGGGGGAAGGTTTACTTATCTCGCAGTAGTAGCGGTTTCAGTCCATAATTGGCTGGCATGGCAAACAGGCATCACAGAGGAGAAAATGTTTATGGTGGGCAGAAGGTACCAAAGTAAGAGCAAGCAAGGGCCAACCACAGGTCTCTCTATCCCTTGTCTCTCAGCCAGGCTACATAGGGATGGTAGCATTCACACCCTTAATGCTAGTGCCCTTGATCCTACTATTGCACCATGAATCAATCCCAATGTCACACACTCTATATCTAGCCACCTGTGAAAAAACCCACCTATGACTGTGTGAGGCTTTCTTGGAGCCATCTAGATACAACCATACAAAGAGCAAAATATTTTATGAGAAAAATTTATATAACGTGATATTCAAAACATCAATATTCTAGTCAGTTCGTGTCAATCAGCAAATTATTTTAGGGAGTAGGTGAGCAATTGGCTTAGTTGTTCTTTTCCAGTCTCAATGTGTTTATAGCATAACTGATAGTAGGACCTATTGTTAATACCAACAGTTTCTAAAACCTTGGAATAAAGTGATAAATCACTATGGCAAGTTCTCATTTTCTCTAAAGTACTTTAAGCTTTGTGTTAACCAAGAATTGAACTCACGACCTAGCACTTCCCAAACGGGCACTGTGCCACTGAGCTATATCTCCAGCCCACTTTAAGCTTTAAGTAGTTAGTTAAAAGCCTGAATTTAAGCAGGGGGAATCTCCCCATTATTTCTCTAACAAATATGCTAAATTCAAATACCATAACAAGTGGCAGATTTTAAGCATTTTTGTGACTAGCTATATCTTCCTGTCTTTTGTGAAGGTGCCGTACTCGGAACTGGGTGGCAAAACTCTGGTGATGGCCGTATATGACTTTGACCGTTTCTCCAAGCACGACATTATCGGAGAATTCAAAGTCCCCATGAACACTGTGGATTTTGGTCACGTAACAGAGGAATGGCGTGATCTGCAAAGTGCTGAGAAGGAAGAGGTAAGGAACTCGTTAGCGTTTCTAATACGACAAGCTGCACTTGCCAACGTTGCTCATACACTAACCTATCTAGCGATGCTCTCTACAAAGGATGACCGGGGCCGAGAGCTGTTGACGACTGGCAAAATAGGGTCAGGGAGATTTTATAGCTTTGTTAAAAATTATATAGATCTCCCGGGTGTTATTTAAAAGGAAAGAGATTCATGCACTGTCCATAAACAACTCTCCTGTACTTGGACATGCAAACACTTTCTAAAAGCTTGCAAATTGCCATATGCACACACTCCCTACTTCTCTAAAAAGACAGTGAAAAATCATCTGCTTCTTTGTATTTTTCCATAATTACTGTTTTCTGCATAGTTTCTGTCGCTGTTACATAGAAATAAAATGGCACTTTTTCCTTGATTATTTCTGCAGATTGTGATAGTTCATTGTTTCTCCCACAGATATTCAGAGTATGATGGGTGAAACATCAAATGTAATTCACAAAGGCTGATATTAAATCCATTTTTTAAATGACTCACATTTTTATAGTACTCTTCACTTTGTTTTTTCTGGTTGTAATAGTTGGGCCCAGTACTTTTGTGTGATTTAAAAAGGGAAATTCAATATCCTTCATGCATTTAAACTCCATAATAATCAATTCTATTTGATTATGCTATGCCTGCCTGGCCCTGACATTTTTTTCTGCATGAATGTCTCAGCAGGCAAAGACCAGAAAGGCAAACAAAAGGAATTTAGCTTCTCGAAACTCCTAAAGTAACTCCTTTTCCAGCCACCTTTTTTGAATCCTGACTTGTGACTATAATTACCCTAGAGATTACAAACCGCCACCATCATTTGGAATCCCTAAATTTCTGTTAGATGTGATCACTTTGGCCCACCAGAGAGAATAGAGGGCAGACCAAGCCTTCAGAGAAACTCAGCTAAATTCATTATCCAAGAATTCTCTGAATCACCTAACGCTACTAACCTTCATCTTTCTTATATGAAGTAAGGTTTGGATCCTCGTTGCTGACTGCTACACTAAAATGAGTCTTGTCTGTGCTCTAAAAATTATCTGGCTATGCAAAAGAAAAAAATTATTTCAGTTAACCTCTTTCTTCTTGAAAAAAAATATATAATATTCCAAAGAAGTAAATACATATATTTCAAAGAGGTTAGTTAAAATTGACACTCAATATTGAGACAGAGTTAGCCCTATTGTGGACATTCAAGAAAAATACTGTTTTCAAATTTATGATTTTTATAAGTGGTTCTTCCTTAGGGGTGAACAAATACTGATATTAAATCTAATCACTGTATGAAGACAAACATTCATTCAACCATAATGTTTAACCAAATAGTGAGATGTTTCACTGAATTTTTTATACTTGATTGAAATGTTTGACTTTATAAATTTCTTGTGTCTAGGATATAAAGTGGGATCATAGCTAGTATTTAATAACTGAATGATGCTTATGAGCTGGATTTCAGTTCATTGGTTGAATATCAGAACATAAATCACTTCTACTTTCCAATGCCCACCTGTTCAGGATACATCATACTTACATTTACCCAATAACTATCCATGGTATGAGATTCCAAGATCACATCCAGTAAGCTTCTGAAAAGTCAAAACACATTCTTGCCCAAGTTAGGAGAATATGACCATCAGGCATTTCCTTCTTTCAATAATCCTTTGGGTTTGAGACTTAACACTAAGCTGACAGGTTGGACTCTAGAATACAGAATGTAAGGTAACTACTCAAAAAGAACTGCATTTCTCTTCTCACTCATACTTTCCTGCCTATTTCTTCCTTTTTCTTCTCTCCTTGAGACTCTTGTCACCTAAACTATTCAAGAAAGGCTGACTGTGATATTTCCTAGACATTACCATATTCCTGCGAGTGTGCTCCGGGTTTTTTAACAGCCGCTGTTTTCATAGTATCTTGGGTTGTTGCGTGTTTCTCACTGAGTTCTTGCTTATTGCCAGTTACACTGATTTCATGGAAAAGGCTCGGCCTCAAGGTCAAACACTCCTAAGTTTCAATACCTTGTGTGTTTTTTGCTTGTTTGTTTGTTTTGGTTTTGGTACTAGGAATCAAACTCAGGACCTTGCGTTTGCCAGCTAAGAGCTTGTGCCACTGAGCTATATCCCCAACCCTTAAGTTTCAGTACTAATACTTATTGATCCATTCACCAGCTGAGATCTTGTACCAGTCACTTATCACTCTCTAAAAATACTTACAGTGGCCTAACATTAGGTAGCCTCTTCTTAAAGTACATTTCATAGTCTGGTATGCAGTAACTGTTCAACCAATGAGGATTTTCCCATTATTTTTCCTTGGTCCAACTTTGCTTTGTGTATTCTCTTTCTCCTTTTTATTTGCCTATTTATATCTGCTTCTCTGTTCTTTTCTCACCACCATTATGCTTATTGAATGACTCTGGAAATGTTTAATGAAAAATAATAACTACCATTACATTTTTAGAATTCTAGAAATAATACATTTTTGTTTTCAAGTGAGTGGTTGTTTTCCTTTATCATGTTTTTTGATATTTCCTTTATCAAAATGCACATTAACTGATTGCTAAAACAACCCTTTAAGTTACACAATTGTTTAAGTTACACAAATGATATTTTCCTTTATCATTTCCTTTATCATGTATAGGAAACATTGTAAAATAGGTGTCTAGCTTAGAAAATATTGCAAGTTGACTAGACCCACCTAGAAACTTTCTCATAAGGGAAATAAGATTTCAATTAAATTTTACATCTGAAGAACTACTTATTCTCAATGATATGTGCTCTGTTTTCATGCTACTGTCCATTCACTGTGGAAAATTATAATTATGTGAATAAACTGAAGTCCTGGATTGACTTTTCTCACAGTTTTAAAGGAATTCTTTTTCTATTTTATATGAGCAATATTATTTATGATTTTCATTTTTCTTTCACCCAACAATGTTAAACATGATTTTAAATTAAAAGATACCAAACAAAATGAGAAAAAAGAATTCAAGGGATAGCTTTAGAATCTAGAAATAGAACCATTAACCATATGTATTGGTCAGTTTCCTATTCTGGGACAAAACACTAGACACTCCTAACTTAAATGAGGAAATGGTTCATTTGGATTAGGGTCAGAGGTGTCAGCCCATGGACAGATGATTCCATTGCTGTGGATCTGGGGTAAGTTGAACATCATGGCAAAAAGTCGTGGTGCAGCATAGTTACTTACGTCATGGTGGCCAAGAGTCAGAGCACAGAAGAAGAGTGCCCAGGGGAAATACATGGCCCAGTGGACCTCTCTCCAGCCGGGCCACCTCCTAACAGAACATTCTGCTGTGAACATACAGGGATCATCCCACTGATGAATACAGTGCCCCTGGACCCAATCCCCACTCCAGGATTCTCTTAATCCAGTCAGTTTGGTAACATGGGTTGGCACATCATAGTAGGTTGGGTTAGAGACTTGGATTTAAGCAGATGATAACAGAACCCCTGAGACCCAACATTTCTATTTGGAGAGGATGGGGTAAGATTTTGTTACCAGAAAGTTACAGCAATGAAAGGTATAAGATGAAACAATTGTGTAACTTAAAGGGTTGTTTTAGCAATCAGTTAATGTGCAAACAAATTAGATGGAAACAGCATGGGTAGTGTGAGAGCCTCACTTGAAACTTTCTAAACGGAAGGAAATGTAGAAGAGATAAACTGTGCCTGAGAAATCCACAACAAATGCACAGTTCCCATTATTAGATTTTAGGTGCTGATGGAGAGTTCACTTGGTTTAACAATGTTCCTCAGATTAGCACAATTGAAGCCAATTTACTGGTTTAGGTTCATCTGCTTTTTTTGTTTGTTTGTTGTGCTCATTTATGTTGTGATTGACCACTTCCTCTTCTCACCTCCCTGTGGAACAATTCTAACATGTGAAGGTAAAATTTGACCTTGGAGATAGTTCGACCTTTCTCTTACTTAAGGTAGAAATGTGCCCTAGGAGTTTCAGGAGGTGGTTACATGGGAAACAATTTTATGAGTTTTTTTTATCAGTATATGGCATGAAAAGCATCCTGTGTGATCATTTTGTGGAATTCTTCCATTTGCAAAAGTCTTCCAATATGTAGAACCTCAAGATGTCTATGTTGAATATTTTAGATTTTCTTTTAATTATTCATGCCACCCACAAGTCAAACCTGAAACCCCATCTTACTTTTAGAATAACTCATTCATTTCATATTTTTACTCAATGATTTCAAATGTTATAGTCAACAGCTATGACCATTTTTCTCTTTTCATACATTTTTATGATGATTCTTCTAGAAATTGTCTTAAGTTCTACACCTGCCTCAGATACATTGAAGGATCTAGACCCTTTTTATTTTAGCATTTTGTTTATTTGTCCTCCTTTTTTTAAATCCTTATGCCTTCTACTACTGTCTCAATTCTAAAGAAGCATAAGAAATAGAAACCACCAGAAAACAACTTAAACGTTTTATTTGCTTTGTTTTAACACTCTGCCCTGAGAGACCGAAAGCTCTCATGACTTGACCAGCACTGCTTTGTCTCCATTAGAGAATAAATCTATCACCTCTGCTTTGTGTGGAATTCATTAAAAAGTGATTTTTAAAAGAGATTCTGTAATCCAGTGCAAATGGAAAAAAATTGATTGCTGAATTAAAATAAGTTGGGGCATAATTTAATTAGTACCCAAGCAGAAGGGAAGAGAAACTACTTTAGTAACTTAATAGAAAATCAATTTTGCAAGAAAATTTCACATTTTTAAGCCTAATTAGAAAAAAATTTACTTCACAGGCAAGCATTTGGAGACTACACATTCAATCAAATGTCAAAAGTTTTTTAGCTGCCGGTAGTCAATTACTTGTACTTCTTTGAAATGAGTTCATCATTCCTTAGGGCACCTTCATGACCAAGGATTATGAAAGAATTTATGTTATTAAGTACATTTTGTAATTAAATGGTAACTTGTGCTCTCAGATAATCTGCAACCTAC